AGCTCAGAGGAGACAGAATGTTTGCTGTAGCAGCTTCTCTATTGTGGAATAGGTTACCATTCAGTAACCGACAGGCCTCCTCTTTTGCTGTTTTTAAATCTCTTTTGAAAATACATTTTTATTCCTTGGCTTTTGAGACTCGTCTAGTTTAATATGGCGCTACTCGTGTTGTGAAACTGGTTTTTATGTACATTTTAATCTTATTTATTCTTAACTTGTTTGGTGTACAGCACTTTGGTTAACCCTGCGGTTTTTAAATTTGCTATAGAAATAGAATAGACTGATTATTTGATTGATAGTTGGCTGCACCTATTTTATATTATTTCCATCACTCAACATAATCATTTTATTTTTTCATACTCTGGTTAGTTTTTAGAGCCAGGATTTTAAAAAGGTTAGAGCAGGGATTGAGGTACTGTAGTTTGCTGGACTGTGTGGTAACAAAATGCACTGAAAGAAAAAAAAAAATCACCTTGAAGAACCTTTGAGTTTTGTACTAGCGCTAAAATCCACTACGGATCCAGATGAACAACATTTTAACTGACAAAACAGACCAATCTGACTTTAATCCTGAGTTCCAAGAGCTCCAATCAGGATCCACAGATTAAATGTACTTCAGAATATTCCAACCTTCCCTCCACAGTGAAAAATGCTCAAATGCTTGGAAGATGCCTATGTAAATTCTCAGTAATCAATCAAACCACAAAAAAATGCTCAGAAGTAAAAAAAAAAGTTTTAACGATTGGTCAGTCCTCAGATCAGTGAATATTTCAGTAATGATGTTTTACTTAATGTCACTTGTTATATGTTTAACAGAAATAGATGAGAAAAGCAGGAAACAAAAAAATGAGCAAACTGCAGATCTAGCGACAATATTATGACACAGAAGATTGCTCTTCAGATTTTTTTTTTATTAAACACAAACTTTTACAATATGAACTGTACATCTAACCAAAATATTACTTAAGCTTTATTTTTTTTGCAATTACTTTTTGAAGAAGTAACTCATAACAATTACTAATTTTCTAAGTTAACATGTCAACTCATGTTAAACACCTGGTAGAGTGAATGTGAGGTTGGGCCTTAAAGCTGGAGGAAAAGTCTGCAAAAAGAAGCCTCACGGAAGAGCTGGGAATCTCCAAATGTTTGTGGATGTTGTCGGTGACTTTGATTAGCTAACTAAAATGGCTCTTTTTAGGAATTTGGATTGACAGTGAGGCGTTTCCAGTATTTGGGGATGATCCTAGAACCAGATGCTGCACTACACTCCCTAACTCATCAGTAGAATGTCTGAGGACGGGGCCAATCAGGTTATCAGCAGGTAACCAGGTGTACTGTTAAAATAGACTCCTTGAGGCCCCTCACTATATCCTTAGAGAGGAAGATGATGGAGGGGTGACTAGAATGGAGGTTTAACCTGATGTTTGACAGTTGTGCAGTCAGGGATCTAAAGGCTGTTGAATCACAGCCTCCCTCTATAGAACCCGCATCTACTTAGAATAGCAGCAACCCAGCCAATTCTACTAGAAATATTAGAAATGCTGATTAGGACCAACTTTATTCTCAAGCACATTGGTTACATCATGGTTTAAGTCTATTTTTTTAGCTGACTGTACAGCAAGGATAACTTTATATCAGTTAAAGGCCTATAGAGAGTTCCATAAACTATAAAAGTCTGGATTCACACAACTTTTTCTGAGTCAGAATTCTGAAGATGGAAGGTGGATGAGTCACCAAGGATGACAATAACTCAAGAAAGGCCACCAAAGTATCTGAAGAGTAGCAAATAAGAAAAATATCAGTTCTTCAGTAAATCTATGGATTGAGCTGAAGCTTTGCTTTGTAAGGCAGCAGCCCAGAAAACAAAAGCTGACCGAAATCCCAGTTGAAACGTGCAAACCTGGTGACAAAATGCAGCAAACATCTTACTGCTGTGCATTTCAACAGAGGTGCCTCCAGCAAGTTTGAAGTTATGTTCTATTGAGGAATCGAATGCATCTACAGATAAGATTCTGGGTTGCATGGCTTACTCTGAAATGTGAAGTGTACATTTAATCCAACCAAACCATTTTTATTTTCCTAGAATACCATAAACTCACACTACAGAGCAATTTCTCGTATTATTTTCTAGTCAATTCAATGTTTGCAGAGAAATCCAACATTAACTTCAAACTTTTATCCAAGAGACACTGTACCATCAGAGAATTGGGTTTCTTGAAACTATTTAGTCTGCAGCTTATCAGCCCCGTTTTATTTAACGAGGCTCTTGAATCCTGCCTGACGATTTATCTGAGGAATAAACTATGAAGCAAAGACATGCAGCAGCTCCTCTGTGGAGGGGTAACAGTTGGAACATTTAATTGGAAAGATCAGATCTCATTTTATGGAAAATTAATCCATAAAAAAACAGCGGCCCAATTAAAAGCAGCGTGATTTGTGTGGGCACACTCAGGGAGAGAGTGCAACAAAATTACTGTTTCTGTTTTCCCCTAAAGGTGGTCAACAATTCAAAATGTTCACTCTGATTTAGGCTGTTCAGTTAACTAGTCCTGAGAGCTTAAAAGAGAAACATAAAAGGCTATGATATTTTGTTTTTTTCTTTCTTAACCACCCAGTCTGATTGTCTTTAATGATGTCAATTAACCAGTCTGTTGCCACTGACCCCTAATTACCAGGTAAAAAGCAGAAGATGGAGTATTTCTACAGTGTGTAGTGAGCACAGAGAAATATAAAAGCAAAAAAAGATTTGGTGTTTATTACTAGATATGAACTGAAACTATTGTGTTCATTTTAAGCTGACGAATAATTAAACTAATGGATACTAATTATGCTTGAGTTGTAGCAGGTCTGAGGCAATAACTCATTAATTGGTATGCAATAAAAAGCCATTAAGGAACTTAGCTGAACAAAGTTCTCAATGTCTCTGGTGAGAAAACTTTTTATCATGGTGACAGCAACAATTACTTATGGAGAAAACTAAGTACACTCTTGCTGCTTTCATAGTAGCAGTCACAGTGGGTGAAGCTGATTAAAGTATTTGATTAGTGGATTATCATCAATGTCTAAATAATGGAGCTAGTAGAGCAACTGCTTCCTGCTCTGAAAAGTAGGGGAGCGAGCACTTCTGTGTATTTTGCCTCAGCAATGTCAATTAAATTTATTTCAATTGAAAAATAAAGTATTGTTCCAAAAGGGAAATTAGATGTTGCCATTCTTATTGGTTTTCATTCAGCCACTTGTTGTAGATGTTAATAGTATGTTTGTTGTATGTAGAATTTGCTTCTTCTCCATCTGAGCTTTTTGGAGCTTCAGACAAAGCAAAGCAGGCAGGATATTTATGCACAAGAGAAATAAAACGACTTAATCCTCAGCGCAGTCTGCTTTGTCTGAATGATGGTGTGTTTGTCAAAGCAGATGTTTAAAAGCATCTTCAATTCAAACCCTAAAGTGAGAAGCAAACTTATGCGGGTCCTTATAGCCCCCTTTTTTTGCTTGCTTGCTTAGGTGAACCAATAGGAGTCTCTCTCTGGGATCTCTATGAAGTGGGGTGTCAGAGCCTCAGTTGGTCTTCCGCAACAATGGAACCATCTCCTGTGTCAGGCTAAGGTTGAAGAGGTGCTGTAGAATCCCACATACACTCAGCCTGACACAATCTGGACCTAGAGCCACATTATGGTTCAGTTTTACTAGCCTTCTCTTCAGGGAAAGGTGGGAGGCGTAGAGGTGAAGGGGTTACCAAACGCAGTCTGGCCTCCCTGCAGTCTGATAAATATATAAAGTCTGCTTTTTCTCATCATACTTCTTTTAATGGCAAGCAAAAAAAAAAACAAAAAATAACAAATGAGTATTCGAGTGAAATTTGTATAAGTGAGTCTACCTCTTCCTCACTCTACTCACCCTACACCCAACAGTCTGATTTAGAAAATAAAAAGTCTGCTTTATCACAATATGAACTCTTAGGTCAGTTGGTGAGAGCAATGGACTGGAAGGGTAAAATGAACATCCTGACACTCCATATCTTTTCTAATTCCCCCCCCCCCCCCCTATTTTACAACATAATCAGGTTTACATGATAAGTTTGGTCACCTCTATGATAGCAGGAGTACAGGATGCTCTAGAGTATACAGCCATATTAACACAATGTTAAGGCAGAAGGACATCAGAACTGACCTCTGAGCAGTAACTACAGTTTTTATCAATGTGTGAAGAATTATGAGCTCCTTTTAACACTTTTAACTTGGAGCCCAAGAGTCCAAGAAATATTGGCAGTTTTAATGTCATACCTGGAACATTAGAAAAAGAATCATCAAATGTACCTTGGCACAAACTCCTTCTAGATGAAAACAACATTGAAGCATAAATCTTGCTTAAAAAGTTAATCTTATTGCTAGCAAGACAACAAAAGTAAAAGATAAAGTGGAGATGTAATGCACAAAGCTGTGCATGGGGAAATACTAGCAAAACATACCAGCCTTAAAACCTCAGTAAATCTGGCAAACATTTTGCTGGGAAGCATTTTGTTCATAAATAATAAACATATTCTTACAAGGTCAAATAATAACAACATTAAGAATGAAAGTGTTCTCATAGCTTAGATGAGAACACTTTGCTTAGAATACATAGGTGATGGTACACCCAGTGGAAGAAGGGTTATTGGTCTTGCTCAGGGACCCAGAGTGGCAGTCGGTGGGGGTGCCACTCTTTCTGCTGGTAATTTATGTTAGAAATAGGGACATATTGTCCAGCAACTAGTCTCTCCTCCCAGCAGGGATGACTGGTTTGTTTCTTAACCTTCACTAGACAAGCTCTGTTACAGCATTTATCAGTTGCTTTTACTGTTTAAAACAGTCATACCAGCAGACGATTGCTGCTACTAGAACCTCTTCACCTGACCGGGCAATTGACTTGTGTAGGAAGTTGACATAGTCACTTTTACGACATTCTGTCACTTTGGTATTAGTTCCTACAGCACACCTCACATTTCTTTGTTCTTTCTTTACCTGCCATGTCTGTAGCAAAGGGTCTGTCTGGTCTCCAGCCAGTGTACCAGCCAACAACTTTCCCCCCGGACACCAGGGGGCGCTCATATGATCGGCCACCCACAAACCCCACGGGCCAAACAGAAACACCTCGAGTGCTGCGCATCTGTAAGAAGATAGAGAGAGAGAGAAAAAAAAAAGAAGTTGTGATATTTGCTTTTTCAGCATACAGTACCAAAATAAAAAAGGATAGAGAAAAAAAAAAATTAAACTTCCATGCCTTCCTATGGGCTCTTGAACTCTTGAACAGTTAAGAGGACACCAGTTCTTGCAGGTCCTCAATATATTGTAAAGGTTATGTTATAGAGAGGCAAACTTAGCTTAATTCTGAGGTCTCTGCACACAATCCAAGCCAAAGGGATGACAGGCCTTAGAGACATAGAAAACAAACAGTGACAGCGAATATGAAATGAATTGTATGTGCATCCGTTTGCATGAATGATCTTTAATTTAATCTGAAAAAGCTGGAGAGCAGCATGAAGAGACTCTCCTGCAGCAGCAATATGAGACCAAATGAAACTGTACAGTGCAGATCTGCTTTCCATTTGCACAGCGAGTGAATTTGCACACAGCCAGAGGCAGTGTGATGCAAAATGAGACAGGGAGAGAGTGAGAGATACAAATTTGGTGGATGGGTGGTGGGCAAGACTGTTCGGGGACAGAGAACTGTATGTGTGCTGTAACCTATGAGTTCTTGTGTGTGAGATTTTTTTGTTTTGCTTTATTTTCCAGTCCCCGCCGCCTAGAGGTTCAGTCGTTTAGACAATGCATCTCATTTCTCAATCAAACAGCCTCCAGACTCTTTCATAACAAAGAGACAGAACAAAACTACATCACACAGCAGCAATGCATCGCCAAGTAAATAAAGCACAATGTATGGATTATAGCACAGTGTGATCACCAAGGAAAATCCATGATACCTGAAAAATCCTATGAAATCAATGTTGGTACTTATTGAAGAAATATGGATTATGTAACCTAAAAAATATACAAACAGCTCAGGCTTGACCTTTCTCCTTAAAGGGCAGCTATTTCCAAGGTCTCTTTAAAATATGCTCACTCCTGTTTCAATATTCTTCTTAATAATCTATTCACATTATGTTACAACAAGTCCACCTCTGATTGATTGTACAGCTCCTTCTGACAGCTATGATCCAGCTACCAAGCAGAGCTCAGTGTTGCTTCGGTGAGGAGCATTTTCACAGTTTAACAGAATTGATCACTATTTTGGGATTTGGTCTGGATAAAGATTTTGTTTGCACTGATTTTCTTTTTAGATTTAGAGAATTTTGTTTCTTTGTACCTCACACCCTGCACCTGATCTGTGAGTAACTTTCTTTGAGCCTTTCCCCTCATATCAAACTTTGTTCCAAATAAAGGGAACTACCAAGACAGGGAAAAGATCTTAGCTGGAATCTTCCACCAGTACTTACAGATATATTCTTTGAACTGAGGTTTTCTCATCCACAAAGCTATGAGATGGGAATTTAAAAACTGCAGGAGCAGATGTGCAGTTTGGTATGCGAGTGAGACAAAAGCCTGATATTAAGGCACTATCTGGTGTTTATTTCTTTCTCTTATGACAGTTTTTTTTCAAAAGATAACAAATCTGACTGGATTATGCATTTGAATTAATCCTCAGTTTTTCATTCTAATCAGTTTCAGAAAATTCAGTTTAACACCAATTTAGCACCAAATTACAACACATCATGTATTTGAATATCAGCTGGAAAACCCAGCTGGTTGCACTTAGTTACTGACATTGCAGAATTTGCTTCTCCTCTGGTGAGCATGTACTGTATTTAACATTTGCGAGCAGTGTCATTTACTTTGAAGAAATCGCTAAAGGATATTCTAGAAACCTGGTCAATATTGGATTTAAATGACAAGTCTTGTTCAAATATCTATAAGTGCAAGCGCTACCCTGTCTAGGTAAAGTAACTGACTAATCACCTTGTTTTTAGAGAGTCTGGCCCATAGACAGTAACTTCTGTCTTGTCTGAATTCAAAATAACAAAATTTTAACTTATCTTGGTTACATCGACAAGAAATGCCTATAGTCTAACTGGTTAGATTCATCATTATTTATGAAGAGACATAGCTGAGCAACATCAGCATAACAGTAGAAAAGAGTCCTATGCTTTCTGACAAACTCACCAAATGATGGCATATGGATATTAAAGAGAACACTACGATGCACTACGATCTTTGGTCGTAGTGGGGACATGTCAATGCTCGTAGTTGGGTATGTCAATGGTACTGTAGTAGTTCGGCAATTGTTGGTGATAGTTGAGGCATGTCCTTGGGAAGGGTTGTCTGATAATTGCACAGTCAAATTGATGGTAGGTCAGAATAAGGCTTACAAAACTATTCATCCAATCACCCTACTTTTTATTCTCCTTTTTCATTTAATCCTGTTGCAGTTTCCTTCTAACTGGTGCTAAGAGCCCTTAGGAAAAGACACATTCTGAAGACCAAACTCACACCTCACACCTGCTTCTACCAAGCATTTACTAAAATCTTTCTAGGGAGGTATATCTTAATGTGATTACTACTAGCTTTAAATATTGTTTTTATGGATTACCTCTTCTGGTGGATCTTATTTCTAGCATATATGTTTGCTTAATTGCTTCTAAATCCTGGGAAATGTTCAAAAGTCTCACCTTTTTTAATGTAGCAAATTTTGGTTTGATTGATAAGAAAGTGTTCTTCCTTCTGATTGATTTTGAGAGTGACTGGCTTGCAACCTTGATGTAATCTATGTGCCTTTGCTCCCCCATTCTTATTTTTTTTTTTTTTTACAGAGATTGATGGCAGCCCTGTAAGTTCCATGCCTCCATTCAGGTCAATGAAAGGTTAAAGCATTACTGTCACATATTCTAAATCTGCAGTTGACAGGCTAATCAAACAATTTGTGCCTCCAGGAAAGTACCTACTAAGCTGTGTGATACTGAACTGAGCAGCTCAGTATCAGAATGAAAACATTCGTCAGAGGTGTCAAAGAAGCTGTCAAAGACTTAGTTTCATGCTGTTTCTGGTATAAAACATCCGTTAATTCGTATATATTATTTAATCAGCTTATTAGTAGTACTTAAATCTAAACCAGCATTCCTCCAGTAGTTCATTTTTTTTCAGGCTTCCCAGTTCCTCAGCAAATAAGTAAATAGAAGGAAGTGTAAAGAAATATTGACTGGTCCACTTAAAATGCCAAAGGAATTTTAAAGAATGTGTTCATTTAAATATAAAAAATAAAGGGTTTTAACACTCAGGGGTACGATGTGGTCTGACTTTAATATACCCTCATTGTGGACATAAATATTACATGAATTTTATGTTTTAATTATTTATTTAAAGCATTTCTTTTCCAGGGTTAAATGAACCTACAACTAGAAATATTCTTAAGAACAAGACTTAAGTGTTTTTCGTTTTTACAAAGGTTTACTTTAACCTGCTGAAACAAAGAACGGTTAATTACTCGGTCTGATAATCATGAGTGTCTGCAGTTGGTATTTTCTCTGTAGTAGGCAGGCCCAGAGAGGCTAATCGGGAGGACCTGAACCATTCTTACTTTCGGGCCTCAAGGACTGTTGATTTAATTTTTTTCATTTTTTTTTTTTAATGCCGTTATTCAGCCCTAAGTGCATAACTTGCTCTGCTACCACCATCCCTGGACTGCCCACACCTATGGTGGCAGCTTTTTTCCCTCCCTGCACATCTTGATGTAACACAACACTTGGTTCGTCATTCGTGTCTGAAAGTTGGAGAGTAAAAGAAGCAAGGACGGAGCAGAGAAAACCAAAATGAAAGAGGAAAATTCTGAAAATAGTCAATGATAAATGTACAAAAATTGGCAGCTTTTTTAGTAAAACAAGCTAGAGGTCTGAAACTTTGAAAGCCGTCGATAAAATGGGTAAGGCAGGTGAACTTTGCCTGCAGACCACTGAACACATTAATTATCAAGCCATTGCATCATGTGGTGTTGTTGCGCATAATTTAATGTTATATAGTTTGAATAATAACATGATGCAACGACACATAAATGGCACATAAATCTTTACATTTACCACAAACGGGCAGAATCCTGTAAGAGACTCACTGAAGGACATAAAATGCATGTGGTGGCTAAAGTCACTGTAGGATAATTGAAGAAGTATTAACAGGAAAAATTGAATTGAACGATTTCAAACTTTTACATAAAATTCTTGATTTTTAAAACATTGTTAAAGCTCTAGGTTTTATATTGCTCCAACATTATATTGGAAGCCCACAAGGAACAGAGATGTTTCATCCTGGTGGGTATATACAAGCTCCTGATTAGACTGAGGAAGATTCCTGCATATAACACACAGTTACTGTCATGTTTACTCTTTGCATCTCTGAAATCAGTGAATACCTGCGTTAGAAAGGAGTCATTAACCCAAGAGAAAGTTTCACTGGCTGCTGACAGCAAACAGCAGGTAGAAAGGCTCTCAGGAGCTGGAAATAGGCCCAATCACTGCTGTGATACAGCCCTGATAAAGACCAGGAAATTGTCAGTTATTTATATCACACTGTCAGAGATGATAACTGTAAGACATTCATCTTCCAAAAAACAACATGATGTGTGGTGACTTTATCTTTACATTTTAACATAATGAAAGGAAGTGGATAAATGGAACATTTCATTAGTGTCTGACCTCACTTTCATCTTGTTTTCTTCACCTCCTTTTTCTCTCCAACATTTCCAACTCTCTCAGCCTCCTCTGCTCCGCATTCCGACCCCTTGCTGCTGTTTGGGCCCCAGGGCATCACTGGTAGCTTTGAAGCCTTTTCCCTGCTAATACTGAAGCCCCTTGTGGTTCTTAAATTCCTTCCCCTTGTTCCTCTTTTTGCTGTTGTCTGCTGTACTCTCTCACTTTTAGGTCAATTTTCAAAGATGTCAGCTCCTCTGTCGTTTAAAATCGTTGTTGAAGAGGAGAAAGAACAGCAGAAAGAAAAGGAAGAGGACTACGTGCCAAGCTCATTCCTTGACTACGGTCGTTATTTTGGCTTAACGCTTAAATCCCAGTTTGACTGCTAATGATCTCCTGGTTTGAATTTCTTCTCTTTCAGCCCAGCTCAGTTTGA